GACTGGCCTGTCCTCTTTGGTCCCAGGATTCCCTTCTACCCAGAGGCTCCCACATCCCCCTGCTGTCTCCTCATCCCAAGAGGGAAGGGGGACGCCCCTCCTGGAAGGCCCTGGTCTTCCTTGGCCTCCCTTCCTGATGACGGGGTCTGGTGGAGTTGGGGGCTCCTACTGTACCCCATCCCCATGGTCCCACCTCAGTCCCCGGGCTCCCTGTGCCTCAGGCTGGAGTCCCAGCCCCTCATGCCGCTGTGCCCGGCTGCCTGCCCCCGGCCCTGCCTCTGGGAACAGGCCAGCTTCTCTCCAGCCTCTGTGCCTTTGCCCAGGCCCATTTCCCTGCCTTCCTTGGCCCTGACACCTAACTGGACCCTGGACCGGGTCCCAGGCCTCCCACTGGCATCTCCCTGGCCTGAAGCCAGCACGGGAGGAGTCAGGGTCATGTGACATACGCAGACTCCCTTCTGCATCCTCCATCCCAAGACAGCCACCGCGTGGGGCGCCGGGAGAGAGCTGCGGCCTGACCGTGGTCTTCCTCGTCTGTTAAGAATATTCACACCAGATTGTAGTGCACACATTTTGAAAACTTCCAACTTCTGTCAGCCTAGCATCCAGGCTGTATCGGACTCTGCTGGTCACTGGCATGGGCACCAGCCTCGCTGTGTTGGTGGCAGTGATTAAACTGCCCAGCGCCTGCCTCTGAGCCCACGTGCTGCTTTCTGCTCCGGTGAATGAGGCTGTCCGTCCGTGTCCGTCCGTGTTCGGTGGTGGTGGAGCGATGTGCCCAGGATGCACAGCGAGGGGGATTGTGGCTGGCAGAACGGTTGCCAGGCGCGGGCAGCGCGCAGCAGCAGGAGGGGTGCACGGTCAGGTTCATTTGCCAGCACAGCAGCCAGAGCCTGTACTCTGTCCGCCTTCGTGACAACAGCGAATCACAGGCACTGCCCCGGGGAAGGACCTGCCCTGTCCCACTTCACTCCCAGTGGCCTCGCCATTAGACACCTGGGGTCTGGATTGGTCCAGGAGGTTAGAAAACAATGTCCCTGGCCTGGGGATTTAGCTCCGTTGGTGCTGCCGCCTGCCTCGAAAGCACAAGGTCCTGAGTTCAGTCCCCAGTACAAAAAAAAAAAAGCAGTGTCCCTGTGTTTCCAGCAGCAGGGCCGTTGGACCCGTGGAGTCGTGTTGACAGCACGTGCTTTTTCCTTTGTGGGGACGGCCTTAGGGATGGAACCCACAGCCTTTAACCTCAGCTATTTTTATATTCTCATTTATCTTGGGTAGGGTCTTGTCGAGTGGCTGGGTCCACATTTATAACCCTCCTGCTTTCCCCATGGACCCTGTCTCCCTTGGCGTGGATTTTCCCACGAGGACTGCTGAGATTTCTGTGGAGGGTTCGCTGCTCGCTTCTCGGCCCTCTGCCTGACTTGCTGGTGTGCAGGGCCGCCTTGTTTCGCTGTGTGTGCTGAGCCTGGTTCCAGTGCTTCCTAGCCAGCACCCGCCCTGCAGTGTGTTCTAGCCAGTGTCTGGGTTCCCCAGGGCCCTGTCCTTACTTAACTTCCCTCCTGTTCTTGCCTCTTTCGGTAGAGCTCATTCATGGTGTGATTTCTCTGACCACAGGTTGGGGAACAATGAAGATTAGTAGGAGCCGCTGCAGGAGCTGTCTGCTTCCCCAGTCTCCTCCTAGAGGCTGCCTGTGTTTTCTGTTCCCTGATCATCATTCCGGACACACACCTGCCCGTGTGGGTCATACTGTGGATGTGTGTTGTCCTCTTCCCTCAGCAGGGTTACTGAGGTTTCCATCCCTTCTGTGACGCCGGTGGCTCGGTGGTTATCTCGTTGGTCCCCTGTTGGTGGTCTCTGTGGTGTCCAGAGCAGCACTGCAGGAGTCCTCGTATTCCTGTATAGTTTTGTGCACACAAATGGACCTGTCCTAGTTATTTGTTTCTGGGACAAAATACCTGGCACCCATAGCTGAAGGAAGAGAGTTTACTTTAGCTCACAGTTTGTAGAAGTTTCAGACCATAGCTGGCTTCAGGGCAGGGCGGCAGGGCACAGGGGCATGCCAGGGTAGGCAGATCGACAGCGAGCAGCAAGTAAGTCTTCCTTTCCTTTTCATCGCTACCTGCTTCTGGGTGGAGCCACCCACAGGGTGGGGCCTTCCAGTCACCACACCCAGAACTCTCCTAAGCCCATCAGTGACTTACTGAGTACCACACACCCTTAATCCCAGTGTCCTGTCCTAGATCCAGCCAGCTCTGGAAAGGGCCACCTAAGAGCACATGAGCCTTTGGGGGACATCTGGATCCGAGCCATAATCGGGCTGGGCGGGGCCTGGGGCCAGCATGTGTGTGAAGCTGCTCTGTGTCTCAGCCACTGCCCTCTACACCGGATTCCAAGCAGCCCCGCTTCCCCAAGTTCCCACTTGTGGTCCTTCCAGACGTTCAACACCAACGTGAGCTCCATGGCGCAAGGGTGAGCACTCTGGACTCCGAATCCAAATGTTCAACACCAGAGCCAAACCTGCCGCACCCCGTCCTTGGTCCTCGACATAAAATCCCAGCCCCTGAGCCCTGCTCTTGGGCCCCTATGAATGAATCAATTAGACAGCACCAGGCTGGCCTCAGGCCCGTAAACCTGCCCTCTGCTCCCACAGCTCCCGCTGTGCTGTGCGGCTCAGCCCTCTTTCCTGGGCTCTCCCAACCTTGAAGCTTCAAGTCTTAGGATGTGAAGAGCTTGCTGCTTCCTGTCACAGCCCTTGGATACCTTTCTGTGTGCCCATCGACAGGAAGCGCCACCTCCTGTGCGGTGGTACTGGACCTAGGTGTCCCCGCAGGTGGTTGTGTGGTGTGGCCTGAGGATATGAGAAGCCGACCTTAGAGTGCTTTAGGCTGCTTCCCTGCACAGCGGCTCCAGAAGACAACTGCACAGGTTTCCAACCTTCAGGGAGATCCACAGCTAGGAGCTGGGCTTGTCCAGGGCCTCTAGCTGCCGGTCCAGTACTGTGGCCTGCACCTGCCCCTGTACAGCAAGGTGGATGGGTGTTGTGATAAAGGGACCTGCTTGATGTGGCCCAGTCTGGAGAAGCAGGTTCTCAGCCTCTGCAGCCTAAACCCACTTCCCCAGCTGCCTCTCCATGGGCTGCAGGAGAGAATCCACCCACCGGGCATCGTGAAGGGACACGGAGGGCTGGGGTG